ATAAACTGAATAGAAATGAATTGAATGGAATGTGCCTAAAAGTCAGGTTTTAGTTAAAAGTTTCTGGTTTTAAAGGGAATTGTAACAAACAAAAGCAAGAAAAAAATATAATGGGGAATATAATGTATTGTTCTTAATGTTTCCTTTTAAAGATTTCAATTTTTCTGTATTTCTTCCATATGAATCAACAAGCTGACCAAATCATACTAATTATTAAATGGCCCATAGTGTCCATAGTTTGGACACCACTGTTTTCTAATGTACTTTGAATATTCTTAAAAATGTAGTTCTTATAGCGTCTTTTACTCTTTTTCACCAGGAGGTTAGATCGAATCCGACGGGAGATTTCAACCGACGCTGTCAGTACGACACCGGAGCCCGAACCCTCCCTGCCATCCACCCCGCCTCCCTGGACCATGGAGCCGCCTCCGTCGTATGACACTGTGATGAAGAGCCAGGAGCACAGCGAGCAGAGAAACCAGGAGCGCAGAGAGGAGATGAACCAGGAGCGCAGAGAGGAGATGAACCAGGAGCGCAGAGAGGAGATGAACCAGGAGCGCAGAGAGGAGATGAACCAGGAGCGCAGAGAGGAGATGAACCAGGAGCAACGAGAACAGCCAGGCAATGAACACGATGAACAGCAACATCTTGAACAAACTGAATACATCCATCAGGAGCACAGCCAGCATCTTTAAATTTTCTCTTGGACATTGGAAACTCCCTTCAGTGCCTACTGTTCCTCTGAGGACTAAACCTTCAGCGCTATGGATAAACTCATAGCTACAAACCTCCTCTGAACCTTGAAACTGACCAATTCAGATTCAGTATTTGCTCAGGATTTCCCTATAAGGTTAGAAGGAGACAAATGGAAATTATTAAGTATAAAGGCTATGATAAAATTCCAGGTTTAGTTAAAGTATCTTTCCTTCCTTTTAAGCTCTGTTCAAATACAGGAAGTACATAATTACAATTTCATATATCTGCCTCATGCATACTGCTTACACACATGTATTGCTTTGATTCACTATAGCAGCAACTCATATAGTCTCATGTTTTCTGATTCGACCTGTTTAACAGTTAATCAGTCTTATATTTTTTTTATTAATTCCCCTTCCTGCTTCTTTGAGGCCTTGGACCCAGCAACCCCTAAAAAACGATCACAGCCTGGTAAAATTAAAGGATTGGCTTTTATTGAAGTCGAGGACAGGCTGCCACATCCTACATGAGGTGCGTACTCATCACAAAGGCCTGCAGAGTCTGGATCTTGAGTTGGGAGATTGTGCAACCTCCAATTTAATATAAAACATTCTAGATTTGGTATTTTGGAATATGAAACTTTTAAGAAATAAGCAGGTTGCATAAAACTGTTGGTTTAAAATTATTTTAGGTTCAATCGTATGGTCTGGAGCACAAAGACAGAAATGAATGCATCGCAAACTTAAAAGGCCGTTTTTGGAACTTTATGGACAGGATGGAAACATACTTTGTAGTTGATCAGACATGGCTCAAGTTTCTTATATGATAATAAAAAAGGATATTTATAATGTTTTGTTGGAGTTCTGACATTAAATATTTTCTTAATTGTCTTGATTTTTAAGGTTGGGCTGTAAAGTTACAGGAAAATCTCAGAATAAATCTACGGGGGATGGAGGGAACTGATGAAGGCAGCGTTCAAGTTTCATTAAGAAATGAAGTGTCATGATGATGGCCCTGATAGCTGACCTAAGTGTTCATTTCACTCACCTGCTTAACTCTGCCTGGTTACTTACATTATTCATCTTATCCACCTGCTCCTGCTGCTACATCGACGGCTCAGTCCAGCTATCAGGGCCAGATCATTGAGTTTGTGCTTTTGAATTAGACTTTAATGCCTTAGTAGTAATGCCTGGTATGTCCTGGCACTTACCTGCAGAGCCGTCCTGTTCCTCTTTTGGCTCAGCGGTGGGATCTAGTTTAAAGTTCTGCAGTTTTCCTGGTGTCATGTCTTGTTTCTGCCTCTCAACCAGTGAGCCTGCCTGTTCTGCATTTGAGCGTGTCTGCCTGACCACTGTTGGACTCGTGAAACCCTGAACCTGCCTGAGCTCTCTGAGGATTCCTGAAAACCTGGATCTGTGTGTAATTTTCTATGTGGGCTACGGACTCCTGGATCTCAGAACCATCCTGCTATGATCTGTTTCCCTGACCTGGCTTGGACTCCTGCCTGTTCATTAAAGGTTGCGGCGTCGGGGATACTCTGGGCGGCTCCCGCTGAATCAGTCGATCGGCTGGATCCTGCCTCGCTCTGAGATGGACTGAACTGTTAAACCAGGTAAGTGACTCACATTGATAATCATCTTCAGTTAGATTATCAAGGTCAATTACCCGTTTCTTCCTCAACCAGAGCGCCAGAGATGGCTTGCGTCCCACCTCCCCCCCGCATTTGCTGCTTATCTGCAGATCCATAGCTCCGTGTGTCTGTTTGCTTTGTTAATAAACTTTTGAAACTTCCCTCTGTCGGTCTCACCCAAGTACTGCGTCCTAGATTCTGAGCCCCTTGACACCAAGGGGGTAAATTCTCTTTAACAGTGAACTATATCACCGTTTCCAGAAGAATAACTGCCATCTATATATATTTCTATATATATTTCTTTATTGTTTTTGTCATGATTAAGCCTGGCCTAATTGTTCATTTTATTCACCTGGCTAAATCTGCTCGGTTTCAAATTACCATTCATGTTATCCACCTGCTCCTGTTCCTTTAAATACGGCTCAGTCCCAGCTATCAGGGCCAGATCATTCAGATTACTCATGTGATGTTGAGATCATAGCTCATGTTTTAGTTCATGTTCTCATTCTCGGAGGCCAGCGGATGAGAAGTTTTTATTGTTTCGTAGAGTTCCTGATCATATCATGTCTGTTATCCACTGAGCGTGCCCTGTTCCTGTCTTGGTTCAATGGAGGGACGGAGTTTTAGTGTACCATAGTTTACCTGATACCCTGCCTTGTTCTGCCTCTCAACTACTGAGCCTGCCTGTTCCCATCTTCACTCTGGACGGTGCCCGCCGCATCTCATTGGGAGTCCTTCGGCTGGATCCTGCCTCGCTCCAAGGAGATGGACTGAACTGTTAAACCAGGTTAGTGACTCGCATTGATAATCATCTTCCGTTAGATTATCGAGGTCAATTACCTTTTTCTTCCTCAACCAGAGCTGCTCCCTTCTCCCTCTGTCTGTTTCAACTGGATGCTGGATCCAATGTTCTGAGCTAATTACAGTTCTGAGGATTACAGCCTTGACTCTTCAGCTGGAAGCTGAAATATTATTAGATATTACTTGTTAGTAAAATCAAAGACATGTACTTGATTCGAGTACTGAAAGAAAACCGCTACAGTAATGAAAACCAGTAGAGAGAAATGATGGAAGTGGCTTTTTTCATCTTGCAGTTAAATGCTCTCCATTTGTTGCTATAGCAACCACCTCTCTGGAACATATTTAACATTTCCAACTCCAAACTACATAATAGTTGAGCACAAAGATTCTTATTGATTCATATTTTACGTCTGACATATTGTGGTATGGAGTGATCTTTCAATAAGGTCATTGTTTTATGCAGAATCTGTAGGGGTAGAACTTTAGGTGATAGACACGAGGCCTTTCCAGCTTAAAGACTTAAAGCTAATCCGCAAAGATTAATTATCAAAATAGCAGTTAAAACATTTGAAATGCAAGTTGCTATAATGCCAATAAAGATTTTTTTTTTATTATTTCATTTCAGATTTTTTATCAAAGGAAAACATAAAACATAAAAAAAAATCCTATGAAACTGATCCTGCTTTTACAATTTGTTATCTTTGAAACGTCAAAAACAAACTTCCTGGTTGGATAACAAGAGTTTTACGTTAAATAAACTTTTGGGTCTAACTGAAAGCCACCAATAAAGTCTTTTCAGCAGCTCTGGAGACCGAAGGCCTTTTGAATTGGATGCCAGAGGTCCAAGTATGTTCATAGAGATAAATCACAGTAAAGTCAGCTACAGCTAGATCAGATGTATTAAATGTTAGCTAAACACATTGAGGGAGGATAATAAAACAGCAAAGGCAAAGATTGCACTTAGTGCTGTTAGTGCATTCCATTTCCATGAGGAATTTATTGGATAGGAGTCAACAGATTGATGCTACTGTAGCCTCTTAAAGACACCAAATTGGGCGATCCTTTTAAAAGCTGGATTACATGTGACTCCTGCACTGGAAAGCAGTGACAGCTGAATGCTAACAGCTCTTTGTTACTCATCGTTCATCTGAACAGCCACAGTTCGCAGACTGCCTGGTGTTAGTTTAGTGTGACATTGCCATAAACCTGAGTTAACAAATAGCTGAGCTGCTTTCTCAGGCTGGTATAAACAGTAGATTGTTTATTCAAAGAGAGGAAATCCCTGGAGAGGAAGAAAACGAAGATATGAACCAAGCAGACTCTGACAGCTTACTGTGCACGGCTCATTGCTGAGTAGCAATGTCTGCTTTTTTTTTTCTATGCAGTAGTCTGTAGCAAGGTGACCTTTCAGGTACAGACGCACACCTGCAATTTTATACCTGACCTGAGCAGGCTGTCTGGAGGCTGTAATAAGCAGCCGAGTGGAACCGAGTTCCTCCACCTTCACCTTCAAGCTCCGTCTCACAAAGAAAGCACTCAATCTTTTCTCTCTGAGCTTTAGGTTCACATTTTATTTGGCCGAAAGGGTTTGTGAGGATGGTGGAGGGGAAACCCTATCGATACGGGCTGATAGTGGCCGGACTTTCTGTGCTGGCCATGGGCCTCTTCATCATGATTCAGGAGCGGCCGCACGTCTACGTTACAATGAGCGTCCTTGGCGTCGCCATGGTGTGTGCTGGGACAGTGTGGAGCCTCTGCCAGTGCTATCCCAAGGTACGCTCAGATTCTGACATGCAGGGTGTTGGAGAAGAAGGTTTCCTAAAAAGAAGTCGTGTGTTTATTAGGTCATTGTGACGCCTGTGAGTCAGAAGGAAAGCCTGGTGGATTTAGTTTGCTCTTCACTTGAAACCAGAGATGAAAGGTACCGTCTAACACACAAGAACACACTCACACAGAGCCATGCCGGTTATTTAGGTCTGGCTGATTTCCTGAGGGCCGTCTGCCAATCTCACACCGCTGAGTGTCCATCATGTAGTCTGAGCACGGTGACGGCAGCAGAGCCTCAGGGGAGGAGATAGTGAGTCTGTTAGGAAGCCTGATAATATTTTAGGAGCAGTCCCATTAAAAACAAACAGAAGTAAAAATCTATCTGAAGTAAATAATTACATTTCTTAATCTTGGAGGCGTAAATATGGAGCATATTTGTTTTCTAAATTACAGAGAGACTTGGATTAGAAATTAAGAAAAAACTAGAATGAATGGAATCAAGAATTGTCTATTAGCACTTTAACTACTATTATTCCTAAAAAAGTAGTTATTAGTTTAGTTGATAAACTTTGAAAATTACAAATTGACAATTTTTTAATATAATGTTCCCTCCTCCTCCTCATGCTGCCAAACCAGCTTATGCTGCAAGTCAGCAATCCCCGCTGATTCCTAAAGCGTTCACTAGAAGAGAAATTACACCAATAAAGCGGAAATAAACTGGCTTTTTAACTTTCTAACATTTAGAGTTTGGAGGTTTTGTGTATTTTTATAAGAAAGAAATAACTGATGCAAATGTTAAGTTTACCTAAAGATGAATTCAAAAGGGAACACAATATATATATTATTTTAAAATATTTAATCTCTTACTTAAATCAAACGTTTTACGATGTCGCCCCGGTTATCTCAAATTTTAGATTTAAACATAATTTGGTTTCTTTTATTTGTCTCAATTGGAGCAAATTTAGAGATTAGAAGAGATGAGGTGGAAATCCAAGGAGGAAAACCTTTAGGGTCGATGGGAATGTAAAGTTAGCAGAAAATTAAACCTCTTGATTTGATCAGAGTCCTGTTGTGTCACCGTGCGATGAACAGGATCATTCCCAGCTCTGCTGGCAGGGAAATCTCAGCACAACCGTAGCAGCTGAAGGACGTTCTGCAGAGAATTAGTGCTTCGTCCAAAGTTATTGGATAGTTTCTCACCTTGGATCTCTCCTAAGCCTAATTAATCAAATGTAGGATAAAAGAAAAATTAAAATGAAGCAAAAAATAGGAAGAAATGAAAAAAGACTTTGCAAGAAAATTACCTGTAAGGAAAGACATATGGTGGGATATGACTGGAACCGAAAACTTAAAGGCTTGGTAGATCCGACTGGGCTTCTTCTGGCTTCTGTGTTTTTCAGTCTGTCTTGGATGGTAGAAATAATCATCAGAGTGTCATGATGCAGTGCTCACTCTGCCAGCAGAAACATTTACCACATTAGCATGTTGCTTGTCTTGGAGACACGCTTTCAAAAAACATCTGTCTAGAAACATTGGTCTAAATAAAACTAAAGACACTTCATGCTGAGAGGAGGAAAGCAGAACATTTATTAAAAACCTCGGTGAGTCTAAAAAAGCAGAAAAAGATGTGTGACAGGCTTTTAACCAAGTCATTTAGTTTAACAGTTTAAGGGTCCAAACTTTAGGAGAATATCTGACAGGTTGAGTGGACGTTTGAAGGGACTGAAGCTGAAGTGGCGTCTCGCAAAATTGAATTGACCAAAAAGTGCAACAGAAGCAAAAATCCAAAAACATAAATCCTCAGAATCCACAAAAACACAGAAAAACCAGGAAAACTCACTGGAAGGGGATGAAATGACAACAAACCAGCAACAGTGACTGAGCAGGAGGTGCATATATGGGAGAGAGAAAAATGAGCAGGCTAATGAGCAGATTGGGAGCAGGTGTGAACAGAGGAGACTAGAAGGGAAAAGGAGACTGAAACAAGGGTAACAGAGGGGAAACGAGAAATACCTAAGAACTCAAATACCATCAAAATAACAAGAATAACACAAAATGGAAATAAAACCAATGAAAACTCAAAGATACAGAACAGAACCATGAAAACATCTGAGTGATATGATGATGGTTTCAGCTCCATCTCGATAAATCCTTCTGCACAGGCCGCGATGGAAGCAGCTCTATGTGCAAAAGTTCAGAGATTTTATCTTCGTACAGTAGACACTCATTCCATCCTCTTCTAATTTATGCTAGAAAGCTGTTTTCAAGAGCAGAGTGAGCGGAAGGGAAGAGATAGCGCTCTGACATTTGTGACCGAGGAGGATTGAATTAGTTGGTAACACGGGAGCAGAGGACTGTTAAGAATCTCTTGATTAAAGCGCCGGAGCCAGAAACGCCACTCTCACACGTCTCCTGCCTGAGTGGCTGTAATTACTGGGGTGTCTGATAAAGACATGCCTGCTCAGCAACGCTCCTCCTCACAGTTAAAAAAGAAAAGTAAGAAAATTGGGACACTGATGAAACTGGACTTCTATTTTTGTCCCTCCCTTCTTTTTACCCCCCCACTGCTGCTGCTGGCTTGGATTCCAGGCAGGCTGAGCTTCGGTCGGATTCCTGCGGTCAGAGAGAGAGCAGTGGGCCACATCTGAAGAGCCAGTGTCACAGCTGTCCCACTCTGCATCTGGTCTGATGGAGAGAGTCACCGGGATCCCAGCAAGCTTCCCAGCTGAGGACTGGAGGGATACCAGTTAGTAAATGACAGCATCAGTGCAACATGATGCAACTCTAGTGCCGTTATTGAAAGTAGAAAATCATTTGTGAACTGGTGCTGCTGGGAAAGGTGAATAAAGTTGAACATGTTTTATCTAATAGTCCCAGAAGGTGGTGCTGTTTACTATGAAAAATGTAAAAAGATTTTAATTCCTGTTAAAAAACTGCTGCACATCTAATTTATCAGCAATAAAATCTTTACCTGATTACCTGCCGAGACCCTGAAGGTCCATCTACACTCTGAACAGAGCAAACTGTTATTCATTAGCTATAGCTGCTTTAATTATTAGTCTTGAGGAGCAGCTTTGCAGCTGCAGTTCTTTGAATAGTATTTTTTTTGCAGCAGCAGCCTCCTTGACGTATCAAATAAAGCAGGTCCTGTGATTCCCTGGTGGCAAAATACAAATTGAAAAGTATCTTTGTTTTCTTTCTATGGGAGATTTTACCCTGTGCAGCATGTTTATCATATGATACTTATTCTGTGCTGTCCATAAAATCCCACTGATCTACCGAGAACTGAAGTCTCTGCAGAAAACATGAGTCTCAGGTTTGGATTAATCAGACGGCTGGAAGCCGAAGCTCCCTGAAGGGTTAATGTCCTTTACTTGGTAAAATTCAATATCATACCAAAACGCTAAACTAGATTGGAGCAGCTGGAAAGGAAGTCATAATTTAAGCTGAAACTTCAGCTAAATGAAAGGTTGTACAGGAGGATCTCATCAGGAGTCTGATTGGGAACGTTACAGAAACCTGCAGGAATCCCTCCATCGAGCTGTGGATGTTTCTCCCAGTGGGATACGTCCGTCCATCCTGCTTATGTTCCCACATCAGCTCAGATTAATCTTTGATTGAGCTTCCCATGGATGACGTATCTCCCCATCCCGTCTATAAGGCCCACTTTCACCACAGGAATCTCTCAGCTGCTTTTGACCAGGATCAAATGACCAATGAATGAAGCAGAATGTTTACAGACTAATTTAGAGTTTTGGTTTTTGACAAAGATTCTTTATTGAAACATAGTGAAGCCGTTTTTGTATTACTACGGAATAAGCCCTAAACTATCACCCATCACCTGCTCTAGAGCTTCTCATAAGATGAGAGGATGCTTGAACTTCTCCAGTTGGGACAACTGGAGGAAGCAGCCCACTTTTTCCAGATGAAACTAATGTCTCCACTTAGAGGAGCTTTGCAGCTAATGGTCCACATGAAGGCTGAAGATTAGAGCTTTAACACACCAACATAAGCGGTAACTCCTCATAAATCAGGCATTTGACCTTGCTGTTCCCAGAAAGCCAATCTTTGCACTCAGAATCCTTCTAGTACCACCTGAGAAAATTATTTGAGGGTCATTGTTGTAAAGCTTCCACAGATTCACAAAACACTGTCAGATATCATGGTGGAGCAGGTAAAGGGTAAAGATCTAGTCTGAGCTCAGTCAGTCAGTTGGAGCATCTGTTCCCATCACCAGAGGGTAAATGAGCCAGAAAGGTTAGGAAGTATGATCCTTTAGTTGTTGGATCAAACTATTTTTACAGAACTTTTCAGATCTTCCATGTTAAATGGAAGAGATGTTTCAGGTATGACAACAAGAGGGATATATTTAATTGTCAAGATCAAGGCTTTTGTCTTTGGTACGGAAGAGGATTAGGGCCACTAAAAAAAAAAAAAAGGAAACTGATTTTTAAATTTTATTTCAGTTTAACATGTTCTCAGAATTCTGACTTTAATCTCAGAATTCTGACTTTTTTTATTGTCAGAATTCAGTCAGAATTCTAACAAAAAAGTCAGAATTCTGACTGAATTCTGACAATAAAAAAAGTCAGAATTCTGAGAAAAAAGTCAGAATTCTGACTTTTTCCCCATACTATACTGAAATAAAATAAAAAAAATCAGTTAACTTTTTTTTTTTTTTTCAGTGGCCCTAATCCTCTTCCGTACTACGGCGATTAAAACTTGAAGATAAAAAAAACCCTGATATGTTTATGAATCTCATGGTCTTTTTTCTGTGTTAATGCTTTTCTCCCAAAAGCAGCGCCACAATAATATTTACCTAAATGAGTGGAGAGTTTCATTAATGTCTTCTAAACACTAATTTCTGAGGTTTTATTCACAGTATTAAACTCAAATCTGCCTTTTGTGGAAAGATGAACGCTTTGTTGGGGACTTTGAAGATCTAAACATGTGAACCCTGCATCCGGTTCTGCTGGGGAATTTCTTAGCTTAAGCTAATTCTAAATGGAGGAAGATACTTTTTTTACGTCCTGCTCCAGATTGTTCATTGGTTTAGACTTTTATTGGGTCAATCTAATACAATAATGTAGTTTGATCTAAACCTTTCCTTCCAATCTGTAAATGTATGCTTAGTGTCATCATGCTGGTTACAGTGCTAAGCCTGTTACAACCTTTAAGTTCTTTTAGGTTAATCTGGTTTTTAGCATCATTCATCTACTCATCATCTTTCTCCCCTTGCTGCATAAAAAGCGTCTCCACAGTATCATGCTGCCTCCATGATGTTTTATGCAATGACATGTTCCAGGTGACATGTAGTGTCAGCTTTCCATCATTATATGTTGCATGCACAGGCAGGGGATGAACGCCCCCCCACCTTGTGGCCCAATTGTTGAAAAATACGTGCTAAACTACCATCTATGGAACCAAATCGGGGCTAAAGTGTCTCTTTGCGAGCCAAAGTGCATCCTAAGGTGCTCTGTTTGGAGTCAAAACACAGCATATACAGCCTTATCCATGTGCACAAGAAGTTGCATCTTAGCAGCGGGGGGATTTAGCATTAGGCAATACTCGGCAGCTGCCTAGGGCCCCAAGTTCCCTGGGGGCCCCATTAAACTCTGCTTCCATGTATGGTTAATACAACTATTCCTTATTTGTGCACATTAATTATATTTTTCATAAAAATCCTTTGGCTAAAATTCCATCAGAACGCTGATAATATTAAGTGTGTCTCAGCCCCCCCCCTTTAGTGTCCACCATATTGGATCAGTCCATTTGCTGCACATGTTCAGAAAGGTCCAAACAGACAGCAGCAAACCATTTGAAAACAAACCAT